ATCTCCCTCCATCAATCCTCGGGTTTGTTCTCTGTCTTTAAGAGTCTCTTATGGGGGTGGGGGGGAGAGTCTCTTATGGTTTGTTTCCTTCTCTCTCTCTTTTTTTCTCCCCTCCCATATGTTTATCTGTTTTGTTTCTAAAATTCCATGTATGAGTGAAATCATATGGTATTTGTCTTTCTCTGACTGACTTATTTTGCCTGGCATAATATACTCTAGTTCCATCCATGTGCTTGCAAATGGCAAGATTTCATTCTTTTTGGTGGCTGAGTAATATTCTGTTGTATACATATACCACATTTTCTTTATCCATTCATCAGTTGGTGGACATTTGGGCCCTCTCCATAGTTTGTTGTTGATAATTCTGCTATAAACATTGGGGTGCATTGTGAATCTGAATTTTTGTATCCTTTGTGTAAATATCTAGTAGTGCAATTCCTGGATCATAAGGTAATTCTATTTTTAACTTGAGGAACTTTCATACTGTTTTTCTTCCTTTTTTTTTTTTTAATTTTTTTTTTCTTTAACGTTTTATTTATTTTTGAGACAGAGAGAGACAGAGCATGAACAGGGGAGGGGCAGAGAGAGAGGGAGACACAGAATTGGAAGCAGGCTCCAGGCTCTGAGCCATCAGCCCAGAGCCCGAAGCGGGGCTCGAACTCATGGACCGTGAGATCGTGACCTGAGCCGAAGTCGGCCGCTTAACCGACTGAGCCACCTAGGCGCCCCTCTTCCTTTCTTTTTAATGTTTATTTATTTTGAGAGCGAGTGAGCAGGGGAGGGGCAGAGAGAGAGGGAGACAGAATCTGACTCTTATAATGGTTTGTTTCCCTTCTCTCTCTCTTTTTTTTTCCCTCCCATATGTTTGTCTGTTTTGTTTCTAAAATTCCATGTATGAGTGAAATCATATGGTATTTGTCTTTCTCTGACTGACTTATTTTGCCTGGCATAATATACTCTAGTTCATCCATGTGCTTGCAAATGGCAAGATTTCATTCTTTTGGTGGCTGAGTAATATTCTGTTGTATACATATATACCACATTTCTTTATCCATTCATCAGTTGGTGTTTACTTTGGGCCCTCTCCATAGTTTGTTGTTGATAATTCTGCTATAAACATTGGGGTGCATTGTGAAATCTGAATTTTTGTATCCTTTGTGTAAATAATATCTAGTAGTGCAATTCTGGATCATAAGGTAATTCTATTTTTAACTTGAACTTTCATACTGTTTTCTTCCTTTTTTTTTTTTTAATTTTTTTTTTCTTTAACGCTTAGTTTATTTATTTTTGAGAGACAGAGACAGGAGCATGAACAGGGAGGGGCAGAGAGAGGAGACACAGAATTGGAAGCAGGCTCCAGGCTCTGAGCCATCAGCCCAGAGCCAGGCGGAAGGGCTCAACTCATGGACCGTGAGATCGTGACCTGAGCGAGAGTCAAGTCGGCCGCTTAACCGACCTGACACCTGAAGCCCCTCTTCGCTCTTTTTTTAATGTTTATTTTGAGAGCGAGTGAGCAGGGGAGGGGCAGAGAGAGAGGGAGACAGAATCTGAAGCAGGCTTCAGGCTTTGAGCTGAAGCCCAATGTGGGGCTCAAACTTATGGACTGCAAGATCATGACCTGAGCCAAAGTCTGATGCTTAACCGACTGAGCCA